TTAGGACATGCAAGTCGCCCACGAGACCAACAGACCTATAGTAGAGAGGCCATCGTATCCACAACCTTACAGCAGAAGAATAGTGTCGTTACGTTATAGCGAAGAGCCGCAGCTTCAAAGGGGCTACATTGTTACGATGGCTATCATGAGGGGAGCTGAATGTGGAATATAGCATTACGCGTGGTGCGTAGCTTGGCACTTGGAACGGGGGATCTTAATCAACTATCATTCTCATACTATCCAAACTCAAGTGAGTCGTCGACGCTAGCTCCAAGCGATCAAAATAAGCGACACGATAGACCTTAGCGTTCCAAGGTTATGTCGTCCCGAATCATGGTGGCGTGTCACTGCTAACTTGCTCGACTGAAGAAGTAAAGCTGTAGAAGAACATATCTCGAGATTTACTAAAATGATATGGGATCCATGCTCGTCTGGATCCACGCCTCACATGGCATATCTGGTTAATAGGGTTATTGGTACTAATATTCTTAAGATAATAGATAGCTAAGTTTATAACATCTAGATGATGGAGAACTAAGGCGCCAGAACTACGGTATAACACTTCAATATAGTCTATTCCCACATCTTAGTGATGTGACTCGTGGCAATAAGACAGGCTTTATAGCACTGGTTCCAAGATTAAGTGTTTGGCTGCTGCTGGATTGGATATTCAACGACATATAGTCATTGAACTGGCTCTTTCGTAAGGCTGGCTACCCTTCAATGATCTTTTCAAGACAGCGGCTGCGCTTGTGTAAACGGGTAGCGAAGTCATACGTATATCTCCTTAAAGTCATGGATATATGCACCTAGGTACATACATATGTGGCAGAAATACATCATTGATTAATGCTTATTCGCACCGAAATGGTGACCCCAGCAAGCACCATCCCGCCGCTAGCTGTAAGTTGAGTAGGAAACTCCGAAAAGGCATTCGGTTGCCTAAGCTTTCCCAGTACAGGCTCAATAAAGCATGGCCATTGCACCAAGGGATTTCGGGCCCTAGGAAGTCCTATTGTCGTCACTGTAGGCATATCTGCGGCAAAGGTGAGATCGGTCATCCAGGGCCCTGAGAAACTTCAGTCGACTAAGACTTTGCGAATATTGCTGGCAATATTATAAGAGAACGAGCCAGTACCCACCGGAGGACCTACTCCAGCATCTGGCCGCGAAACCTGAAGTTAGGGCCAGGGCCGACAGTTGGAAATATGTTTATTGCGGCGCTGGTAGCGGGTATCCCCGTCACTGACACCACGTCAACTTGGAAACGGTGAACAACGACAATGTGCGGTCTGTCAAGTGTTTCCAATACCGTTACCGCCATGGAAAAGAGAAAGAGCTGCCCGAAGAGCAATTCGAGTCAAATTGCACCAGGGTTCCTATCGAAAAAATCGTCGGTGTGTGATCTGCCAAGGGGCCGCGTCCCCAACTTGGTATTTCGTGGACAAGAAAGTTCGAGATGAGACCAAGATGCGATGTGAGAAGTGCCATAGTTATCATAGGGAATTCAGCAAAGAACGACCGGAAAAGGCGATTCGGAGAGAAGCACTAGTCCCTGCAGACCGCCGCTGGGTACCGCCCAACTTCCAAGGAACGGGTATGCGTAGCCTGGAGGAGAACGAACCTGACGGTATGGCATCATGTGGACCAAATCACTAGGTATGAGGACAATATGAGGTGCAGTGTTTGTGAACATTACTACAAAAGACCGGTGGAGTGCCTCCCCCGAGCTATTTCGAGCGCCTAAGACCGGGTCTGCTATATATGCGGGTTAGAGAAGAGAACTGTGAGATAACATATTGTTATATCGATATGCAATGCATATTTTATGCCATTAGATTTATGCTATCCATACGCCCAGGATCACTATTACAGTAAGTCAAGTGATGATAAAAATATAAATCACGTGATAGTAGGAGATCATGTGATAACCCACAGGAGTAAGGCGTTTACTTAGAATTTTTGCAGTTTGCCAGTTGGCTCGAGAGATCCCTCATAATTGAGATTGAACGTTTTGTGACAAAAGGTACCCGTGCCATGCCCCACTTAATTTTGGTTAGGTTTTACCTGTACCACTCTTAAGTAGTGCTTACCAGTAATTTCCACATATCAGTATTTCCTATACTTTAATAAATTAATATTTTTATTTTATGATTTCTTAATTAGCATATAAGTTATAAACTTATAAAAATTGTTATTACGTAGAGAAAAGGTTAAAGAATTTATATTTGATTTTTGTTTTTTAATACATATTTTATTTATTTTTTAATAAGCGGAAATGTGAAATATAACTATTATTTTTAAAAAATGCTTTAAAATTTAAAACTTATATATATTAATGAATATTAGGTATATTATTTTTTTGTTTTCACTTTTTGATAATTAAATTATTATAGTATTTTATATATTTTTCCGTTCATTTTTAGTGTAAAAAGTTGTTATAATAAAAATTATTAAACATAAAAGTTCTGAAATTTTCATTAAGAAAAATTTTATTATAATCATTTTTTTAAATTATTTTTTAATAAATTTAATGCTTTTATAATTTATATTACTATGAATAAATGGCTTATAAAATTCAAAAAAGTGTTATAAATTTTTTTATTAGTTAAATAATAAAAATTAAAAAATTAAAAAATTAAAAACTTATTTTTCGTAAAGTTATTTTATTTTGAAAATTTATTACTTTCTATTATCTTAATAGTGCTATTATCTTTAAAATTAAATATTAAATTAAATAAAATATGTGAAAACGCCTAAATGTTATTATAAAATTGAGAAAGAAATCCTTTATTTAAAGATATAATTTATATATTTATAAATAATATAAGTGTTAAGATATAATAAAGTAAAATCGTTAATTTATTAAAGTATGGGAAATATTGGTATGTGGAAATTATTGGTAAGCATCATTTAAGAGTGGTGCAGGTAAAACTTAACCAAAATTAAGTGGGGCGTGGCACGGGTATAACTTTTATACAGTCTCTAAGGGGATCAAATATGAAACTCACGTGCCCTCCAATTCATAAATCATGTGACATAGATAGTCACGTGACAGTCTGCAGGAGTAAGCTGCTTACCTGGCGGATTTTTACTGTTTGAATCTTGGCTCTGTAGATATTTCATAGCACAGATTGATTCCTCATATTATCTGCTGCATATCATGTTGCTTCGTGACAACATGAATGATATGGCTAGGTCTGTTGCGATAAAGCGCCCATAGCCTACATAGGTACCCAGGTCCCAGGTAGTCTGAGTTGAATCAATCGTCTTCGTTTCCACTCGGAGGAATACCCTCGGTACCTCGTCCGAGGTCCTCGCCATGCACCTTCCCATTGATGAACAATGGCTTGGTGTCCTGCAAAACGAAGACCATTCTCGCCCAATCAGTTTTGCTTGGGTTGCGCCAAGCATGCATGGTGGCTCGTTGCACGGCGATATCCCCGCGCTTCATCCGCGTTACACTCCCGTCATCCAACAACCTGTTTAACGAGAAGAGTCAGTAATAACTTATTTAAGAAGGGAACATGCTCGCTTCATGCAAAGTGTATGTCTTAGGAGTAATTGAGCCCAAAATGCCCAAGCGATGCCGGAAAGGGGGGGATAACTCATAAACGCAACGTACATCTCGATCTCGCCTTCGACCAGGATGCCGAAATCTAGGGACTTGGTCCGATGCATCATGCACTCGTACTCCGGGCCGAAATCGACCATCCTTAGGACCGTCCCGCCCTTCGTAGCTAGTCCGAGGTTTCCGCCCGCGATTACCTCCTCGTGAAACTTGATGTCGGCGTCCTTGTTTAGATCCGGCGGGAATTGGTTCGTGTAGATTTGGTTGAAACCCACTACGATGGCACGAATTGGTATGCGTTCTTTCTATAGGGGAAATGGTTGGGAGCGGCTGTGGTGAAAACTTACTGATGCCGCCTTCATAGGCTTTCCATGCCGCCGGTCTCGCGGAATGCACGATTGCTTTTCCTTCCTCATTATGACCGGTTAAGTATGTGGTAGTGAAAGGAAGTCCGGTTGCAACCTGTGGCGATGGTTCCGACTGTGGCTTTGTCGTGCTTGATGTGGATGACATTTTGGCGGTTACTTTGATGTGTGATGTTAGCAACGCCAGGATTTTATGGGAGTCCAAGAAGGATTTAAGAGTCTCAGCCAGGAGGAATAACGATAGGTTCGGAGTTACTTATGCACAGAGTACGATGAGGGGTTCACGCAAAAGAATACTAAGCACGGAAGGCAAATAGCCAGTTGGGGAATTCCGGCATACGCCACCACACGAATTGCAGAGCTCTAACTATACGGCCTAGTATGGGTCAGCACCATACTTGCACCTGGCACCTGGCTCCATCTGCCTACCATTTGGGCGTCGACTAATACTCCACACTAGAACTACCCAGGTGCGCGACCTGCATACCATATGGGTAGGTAGTAGCCTTCTAATAGCACGGGGTCTAGCTGCAAGCTGAATGGTATATGCTATGATCCTCAAGCGGTATGAACTTGTCGGGGTGTACGGGGATAATAGGGCAGCATCCGGCTAAGTCGCGACTCGGGAGACCGGCGGGACCATCGTGCGGGTGGAAAAGGTTGACAAATTGGTGGATATATTTTGTCGGAAACGGCGAGGATACCGGCCATTCAGCTACTTGCCGAATCCAGCTTTGGCAGGTTTCGCGCCCTTCTAGTAGACTCAAAAGACCAATAGGTTCGAGATCATGTTTGACGCGGTATCACAGCTAACAAGGTACGTGTCCGTGCTTTTCTATGGTAGAGAATTTTGTGATTATTTCAAGTTTAGAGATCCCTGAGGAGATGGGAACTAAACCCGCTTCTCTCGTCTTTAACTCTTGCTGTTATTGATAGACTGTCGACCATTCTACTACAAAGTCCCTTGGACTATAGACCTCAGAGACGGCAAGTGAAGAAGGCGAATGAGAGAAGAAAAAGGAAAATAAAAATAAAAAGAAAAGCAGCAGGTACCATGGGAATTGAGCCCACGGCGAGACTCGAACTCGCAACCTTGAGATTAAGAGTCTCACGCTCTAAGCCGATTGAGCCACGCAGGCAGCGCGATTAGTTTTTTAGTCGTCCCATTGTTGCTTGATGCTACACTGGTTGTTATCCACTGTTATATACCACTTATACACAGTGCAAGCTAGGTGCTAGTCGTGAGTCTCATTAGGGCTCGAGCCCTATCTGTCATTAGTAGCAAACATCGTTGGCCCTTCTATTCCGCAGCTAAGGAGCTCTGGCCAACCATTGTAAACTATGATGGCAACATGTTCGGTGGAAATGGCAACTATTCAAGCCGGGCGCGGCGGTCAATGATTGGGACGGCGGGCGGCAGGACAGACTCTATCCTCTCAGTGAAATGAACACAAGCCAGGGGTGGCCATCAAGTCTACCTACCGTATGCATGATGGCCCAGGTCTGAATGTAGATCGAGATGTAATGTCCCATCCCATGGTTCTTCAATACAAGCCCGCTAATCCTCTTCATTCAGAGCATGGGCGCGAAACAGGATTGAAGAGTTCCAATGAACTCTTTAGCAAGTTAATCGGATGAGTGAAACCGCAATAAGCTATAAAAAGCGACGTACAGGCCTAGTTACGCCCGTTATTTTGTGCTCTGACGTAAAGTTTGCTTCCGTCGTTGCTGTGCCTCAGCTGCTGTCGATCGTCAATTGATGCGCATCCCATGGGAATTGCTAACCAACCAATAGGGGTCAACTTTTCTGTATACAGAAGGATTCATGTTGAGCTATTCAAGGTGCCAAGACTTAGCCTAGTTGTGCCGATCATCATCAGCTGCATCTCTCCTATACTATCCATTTGTCTATAAGTTGCTGCGATGAAGCTGCAATGAGTTCCTCTGAACTTCATATCTTTCCTTCGAACAGAGAGCTGCAAACCCATCCAGATATCTACAACAACTCACTCAAAATCAACGACTAGCATTAGCATCATGCAGGTTTCGCTTTTCAACACCATTGCTGTCCTGGCGTTTGCCATGAACGCTGCAGCTGGACCTGTTCCGGAAGGACTCCTTCCACGACAATGCGTGAGTATCCGTTCCTTCATGTATTCAGAAGACACGTTGCCCTTGAGACTGTCTACATGTAAATACCTAGGGACATAAATATTAACATGTTGGTAGTCTGGAATGGGCACGTGCGGAAATCTCATCTGCAAGGTTGACAGCGGCTGCACCTGTTCTAATGCTGGCTGTCTCCAAGAGTCCAGCCGCATCTGCACTTGCGCATAGCGTGGGAATATAGTATAGGTTAAGAGGATATTTTGGGGGATGGATGGGCTTGTTTTTGTTGCTTTTATCAAGCGTATGGATGAATGTAAAATGGCATTTGGAAGTGCAATATCTTATGATATTGCCATAGTCTAAGACTTTTCAGATAATACATCGATCTCGGGGCCTTTACTCCGTAAGTCTTCTGCTAAAAAATGCCTACCTGGTATCGTATTAATAATAACCGACTCATATCAACTATTTATACGAGCGATATGTGTTAATGAAGACTCTTAAACAGCTGATTAAATTGTAAGCGTGTCTCTTCTCGCATTTGAAGGTGATTCCAGAGATGCCTAGAATGACTTAGACATTCTTAGGTTCCCTTTAATCTTCGATTTTTTAACTCTACCTATGCTCAATCTTGAACGAATATATCCGGATTTCAACGATGGCACTCCTATTTTCCGTCATATTCGTAGCATCAGAATGGTGCTACCCTCTTTATACGTTATGGCTATCGACCCAGGAATACTCGAGACAAAAACTGATGCGAACCTCTCAAATGGCCCAAGAACTATAAATAAAAGGAGTAATGCAGTTGTAGGGGTATAGCGAAAAGAAGTCAGACTCTACGACATATTAAACATAAGTCTTACAAGGACACATCCATCTTCTGGCAGGTTATTTGAACTTGAAGCTGACGTGACACGTGGTTGAAGTTCCCGAAACATGCGCTCCCAACAAGACTCCCAACAGGATTATAGACGACATCTCGAACACTACATCCCCCCACCACCACGAAGCCTTGCTGCCCTCGGTCTGTCTAAGAAGCAATGGGAGGACTTGGAAGGCAAGTACCCTCTAAGGGAGATAGAAATAATCTCATATGCCATAGACAATTTACTAATATCTGCAGCTTCTGAAAAAGCTCTACCACGGTTTCTTTTTCGAGGATTCGGCCCAGACTCTGGGGGTGATAGCCGGCTGAACACTACGACTCGCATCACCCCACATGCATTTATCGACGGCAAGCAGCCGACCACCATTTATGACATCCCTGATCTCAGAGGGGTTATTGAGAGACACGTGAGCAACAAAAAAGGCATGTCTGAATTCAGCTCGTGGACAGCCTGTCTCACTGTTGCTAGTAGGTAACCTTGAATGATTCGAACGACCATTCTCCGAACGCGTGCCAGAATCCCCTATTCCGGTTAAAAACTATATACTGATCAATCTTTATAGTGCATTATGCGCGCAACTCGTATGTAGCAATGATTGACAGGACCTTACTACCCAATGTAAAGATCTATCACGTTCCGGATTTACATAATGCTGGCCTAGTTGAAAGAGAAAAAGACTGGGAATATCTGATGTATGGACCAGTCGATGGACCTGGGCTCCGCTGCGTAGCTTGCAAGGACATTGAGAATGCACAGTACTATGAACTAGCAGGAGAATCCACTGGAGAGGCTCTCTTCAACATGTCTGTATATACACACGTAGAGAGGAAGGTCGCCAGAGCAAAAGAGTTGGCCAGGTTATTCTGTCCGGCTATTGGTGAACATCCAGACGTCGTCGTGGCGCTTACGGCCGCATTTTCTTGTCTAGATTGGGGCTACATTCACAAGGGACGCAAGGGGATATTCAGCATAAATCTCTCTCGAGCACTTATCGCCGGTCTGCGTGATGAACTCAAGAGGACCTCCAAGAAGACGGCCCTAGTCAACCCCAAAATGTACGCTGGGGGTCACTTCTACCCACAGGTAGGGCAATCGGTGTTTCAGTTAAGAAATCTCGAGGAATGGATAAGAACAGAATCGGAAGCTTCTGAGGCTCTAATTGATGCTTCTTAGATTTGGGCTACTGAGGAGAACAGAATTGCCGCGGGAGATCTAGGACAGGATAATAGGCAGTCAACTCGGTTTATTGGGCCCCGACGGCATCAGTTGTTATTTTACCCCTGAGCGATCAGCTTTTCCGTTAGTTAGATACACCAAACAGCAGCCTCTCTACCTATCTCGGTGCCTATCATTCTGATAGTTTCAAGTTTCCAATTAGTTATTTTGAACTTACATACAAGCAAAGTTGTTCCTATAATCTATCAGGCAGCCTAGACCGCTGGAAGCGAAAGTGGTTTGTTGTTGTTGCTGTTGTTATATGTTTAATGTCTGAACGTTGGAAGCGTACGCTACTTTTCGCGACCTCCCTACGGGTATAGGACATGGCAGGCTCTAGTATACAAGACGTTAACAAGGCGAAAGGGGCAAATGGTTAAAGTACCAAGTAATGGACAAGTTCCGTGTAGGCTATAACTGCATGTAAGTAACAGGCAGACTAAATTAGAAGTCTAAGTCATGGACGTATCCTATTTATACCGATATCATTCCTCATTGCATCCTGTAAATCTAGTTCGAAGCATAGATCGATAGAGCTTTCTCGAGGTCTTGTTTCACATCAGCATCCCAGATCCAACTCATTCGCGTCTGGAAATTTCTCTCCACTGCATCGAGATCATCCCCTTCGAGTTGGAACTGGTATAGCTGGCCTGCCTCCCTGCTTGTCTTGACCAGCTTCAGAGTCCGTGGCCTCCTCACTTCATCGTACGCCTTGAATACTTTGTCCAAGTCTTGCACGCTTTCCGCTTTACCTATCAGCTCGCTAAGGATATAGCAATCTTCGATGCACATTCCAGCCCCTGAGCCCTGATGGGGCGTCGACGCATGCGCGGCATCGCCGAGAAGACAGATGCGCGGGCTTAGACCGTAATAGGTCTTTGCGGGAAGATGATTGAAGAGAGCCCAGATATCCCTTTTTTCCATGACCTCGATGATGGAAATAACGTCAGGGCCCCAGTTCTTGAAGTCCTCCAACATTTTCTCCTTTGTCGTCCCTATGACCCACTGGGGGTTCGTCCATGTTTCGGTGGTGATGAAAGCCACAACTTTTATGGCTCAGTTAGCGCAATAGGGGGGGACTGTTCTAATGGAACACTTACCATTCATAGTCTTCCCCTTTTCAACCGGGTAGGTGAGAAGATGACCGTCATACCCAAGGTACATTTGACAGTCACGAGCAACTTCCGAACCTAGCATCTGAACAGCTTTGTCCATTGGTACCAACCCCCTGTACGCGTACTGTCCCGAATACACGGCCTTAGCCTCTCCCTCTCCCAGTAAAATTTCTCTAGTCTTGGATTTGATCCCATCGCAACCAATCACAGCACTATGCTGCGCCGTCGTCCCATCCGCAAAACGCAGCACAGCATCCTCCGATCCATCAGTAGCAGCGGTAATACTCACCAACCGCTTGCCAAGCTTCGACACGGACTCAGGCACCAATTTAAGCAGCTCATCCAAGAAATGAGCCCGATGCACACCGCCAGAGGGCACATTATTCGTGTAGCGAATCTCAAAAACAGGGTCTCCAACCTTAATCCCCTCCTTCTCCCTCTGCTTCAGCACGCCGTCTGGCCCGGCTTTTCGCTTGTCGCCCACGCGCACGGTGAACCAGTTCTTGGCGCGGTCGCCCTGCGTGACGCAGCGCCTGAATCCTTCGGTCAGCTCGGGGGAGATGAGCTCGATGGCGCGGACGGCGTGGGGTCCGAAACCCACGCCGGCGCCGATCTCGCCGAACTTGGACGCTGATTCGTAGACGGTGAAGGGTACGTTTTGCTTGAGGAGGGCAACTGCGAGTGTGAGTCCGCTTATGCCGCCACCGACGATAGCGATGTTGAATGGTTTCGTGCTCGACATGATGCGTAAAAGATTTAAGACTCGTAGTGAGGGATATCAAAGCCTTGTATGGTAGGGATGAATGGCGG